AGCTACCAAACCTCTGGAGGGCACTTCTCCTGTAAAGAGAAAGAACATTATGGATTTGAATTACACTGGTTATGTTTGGTAGGTTTTTAGACAGAGTAGACAAGGGAAGCACTGTTATTAAAGCAGCTAATGTGCAAATTAGTGATCAATGCAGAATCGGTAGGCTGATGTCCCAGACTGAGAGCTACCTCTGCCCAAAAGACAGTTATGTCAATGATAGTCTTCTTTCTACAAATACGACACAATATTTGATTAATTAATTGAGAAAATAATAGAAAAAAAAAAAAAGATCAAAATGTGGGGTTTCAAAAAATTGTTTTATTTCCAAGGTAAGCTGTTTGTTGCTATTCATATTCACAGTACCAGCATTATCAGTCCAGTGATTTACAGTACTTGAATTTTTTAGATGGAAGAAAATGCCTGTAGGCTGACTTACCAGCTAAGAATGTCTTCTACATATACAAATTATTTCTAGGTTTGTAACTATACTGTCCATGAACCTGTATCAAAGTCTTGACTAACACATAGGTTAACACAATGGTAAAACAGAACAGAGAAGAAGATTGTTCTCCCTCAAGAGTTCATTCAGTCTAAACTTAATACAAAGGATTATATAGGAATTCAAAACAGACCATGGAGACTATTAGAAATCGTTGAGGAGCAATTGACCTCTGTAAAGAATATCAATCAGTGAATAAGAGTGTCTAATGGTTCACATGCAAAAAATAAAAATAAAATATTTAAAAACAATCACTAAATCCTGAGATGTGCAGATTTTTTTCTGCTATTGAGGTGGATGGGCCTCTGAGCAACCTGATTTATTTAAAGCTGTCCCTGCATATTGCAGAGGGCTTGGGTTGCATGACCTTTTAAAGGTCCCTTCCAATTCAAACTATTCTATGATTCCATGATAAAGTACAAATAAAGAATGGAAGTATCTGTCTGAAAAAGGTGCAGCTGATGCCTCATGACCAGCTGAGCAGGAGTCATGTATGCACCGCTAACAGTGGTGACAGCAGTGCAGCTGGTCCTGCACACACAAGGGAGAGCCCTTACAGGTCCTGTGGGAGAAGCAGTGACAGGATGGTCAGGAGCATGGCATCCTGAACAGATATAGCTGGGAAAGACTAGCTTTGCCTAGCTTAGGAAAAACAATGTTCCAGTATTTTGGGGACAGAGATGCTGAGGAAAGAAAAGGCCATCATAAAAAACATTACATTACATTAAGAAAAAAACCCAAAAAACCCCACAAAAAATAACAACAAAAAACCCAACAAAAACAAACAAACAAAAAAACTGACAAAAATCCTCCCAAAAATGAACAAAAAAATGAACAAAACAAATACCAAAAAGCAAGCACAAAACAAACAAAAAAAACCCACCACAATAAAACTTAAGACCAATCTTAATGCATTGACCAATATGAATGCAAAGACACAGAAAAACTGGGTAGAAAAGTATACCCAAATCAGAGCCCAGGGAATTAACCTAAAATCAGTATGTTTCTGACTGATAAAACTGAAGAGATAAGATGTAATCAAGAAAAGATTTAAAATAACATCTTTAGGCCTGAGCCTAGAACCTGTCTCATGAAGGTACAGTCTTGCCTCATCGATGCCAGAACCAAGAGGCCAGTGTGAGCCCACTTATATGCAGGAGTTAACGAGTACAGCCAAGTTATATATACAGGTACATATATATATATATATTTATATATATACTTCTCTCTCATGCTTAGTGACATGCCACTATAATCTTGGATAATTTATGTCCTTTCCTTAAGAAGACCACTTACTTGAGATGAAAACCTATTGGCTTATTATATAATTCAAAAGACGCCTTGAAGCTGGTTCATGACATCAGCACACTCATTATGTGACTTTATAGGCTCTGAGACATTGATGGTGATCAATAAACAGTAATCTCAGTAATCATGCAAGGGCCAATATGGAAGGATTTGGGGAAATTTTCCTTGTGAAAGTGAATTTTTTAAAAAATAAAAAATGCCACAAGAAGGCTCAATAAATATCATCACATGTTTTTAATTAGCTCAGGTTCCCTAGTAAACTGTCATGGCATGATATATGAGAAATCAGTATTTACAACGAAATCAATGAATGCTTTTTCAAAGACAAATTAAAATGTTATTATTGTGCATCTTGATAGTCTAGAAAATTGCCTGACAAATAAGTACTGTGTATGTGTACTGATTTTACCTTATAACTCTTAGCATTAGTCCTGTGACTTTAGTATTCTAACAACATTAGAATCCTCTGGATTATGGAATTCCAATCATAAAAAAAGAATTATACCTGTCTGGAAGACCCCGTTTAGGTTGTAATTATAAGTTGAAATCACAAGTGCAAAGTAATTGAAATTCATGGCTGTGAGGGCCCAGCTATGGCAATATAAAAATGCTTTTACTAAGCATTCACTGCTACAATGAATATTTTGTATCAGTGAAATTAAGGTTATGTTGTCTACACGCAGGATATCTGCTCTGTTTGTAAGCCATACTTACATTGGTGTACTGGTGACTTGCAGCTTATGATATATTTCTAGTAACAATGGGCAAGAAATATATTTTATTTAGTGAAATTCTTGATTAAATAGTCACGTGTTACAATGCCTTCAATACACGCTGGGAAAGAAATTGCTGATCTCCATTCTTTCCTGCTTTTGTATGTTCATCTTTTAGTACATAATTATTTGTTTGTTAATGCCACAACAGAGAGGCTAGTTTTATATTATTGCAAAAGGAAGATACATTACAATTTCTATATTTTGGGAATGAGAATATATTATTTGCAGAGCTGAGTTTTCCAGAGCTGTTACCTTAATTTTGCCAACAAGCATCATTTTTACACACACACACACACACACACACACACACACACACACACACACACGTGTAACTACAAGGTAACAGCTTCCATACTGAATTTAGTTAAACTTTTACAGAGTTATTCCAGTACATCTGAAGACAGCATCATAAAAACTCTAATGACAGGGAGATCCTCAGCCTTCTTGACATGGGTCAGACCCCAGCAGGTGGATATAAGTACTCATGGCCCCTACTACTGTGTGGAAAATACTCCCCATTCCCAATTCCAAACACCTCCATAATGCTTAATGCAGTTGTTTAGAAATATTATTTCTAAATAATATTATTTGTAGAAAATACAATTTAATATGAATCACGGAGATTTGGGGGTTACCCTTATAATTCATCATCCTGAAGAACAAAGACAACTTTGATTGTTTCATTTGTTGAGAAGGGTGCATGAAGTAAAACAAGCAGATTTATCAGTAATTTAAAAATGGGGGTGTGATATTTTCTTTTCTGAGAGTATAAAAATTATAAAAATTGCAAAAATTATAAAAAGTGAGGTGTAGATTTTAAAGATATCACCAACTGCCAAGGACTAGATGAGAAAAGTCATGTCAAAAAAAGCAAGTTGGGCATTCATTACTTTTCTAAGAAGCATTGTATGACGTTGTCTGCACTGACTCATTGACATTCATCTAGTGATACAGGTTTGCATTGTTTTTGCTTCTCATCTTTCTTTAAGAAGTAGACTTGAAAGCTCACAGGTCCAAGCATGACACATACAATATTGGCATTTCATGTAAACAAGCAGTACAAAACAGATTATATGCATTCAGCCTCTTTAACCATTAAAACTTTTGTAATTCATTTCCATCCACTCTAAGTTTAAACCCTGCACTGTATATATAAGCAAAGTAGTTCTAATAACAAATGATTAAATGGCAAAGAATAACACAAGGAACACAGTCACCTGAGAACTCCTCACCTGTTTCCAGTTATGCTCCTGTCACCTGGAGGGAGGCTTAGAGCTATAATTGGGGGAGACTGCAGCCCACAGTGTTGAAACCCACAGAGCCAAACTGCTGGTATCAATATGTCAGGAAACTGAGCAAAGCTAAAATGAGATCTGTTGCTATATAACCATGTGCTGCAAAGAAGGAGGATACAGCAGAACATCTGCTAGAAAACAAAGGATTCTAAATTTCTTATAAGAAGTCCTCCTTTGGTGTGATAGAATTCAGGCCCAAGCCACTCATCTATACATATACATTCCATTTCCTGCTCTGTCCCAATTTTCCAGGCTCCTGCTTCCCTCTTCCTTGGGGAACCATTTCTAGAACTTTTCTCCACAGCCCTGCCCCATGAGAGCCTTGTTTTACCTGCTGTGCCCAGGCATGTCCAGTGAAGAAAGCATGTGGCTGATTGCAGCACTGCTGCTCTCACCAAACCATGGAAGTCTGCTGCAGACTGCCTGTTCCCACACCCCAGGAGGAAACAGGCAAGGTGATGAGACACAGCTCATCCCCATCAACAGAATGGACACAAAAAACACATCCCAGACACTTGCTCATTCTTCTGTCACCCTGACCCTAAGTAAACAGCATTCTTTTTGGATGGCTAGAGAACAGTCATTGCTAAAATAAGACTACAGAGACAAAAAGAGGGAAAGGCTATAATAGATAGCATTTTCACTGTATTTTTTTTTAATTTTCCAGACTGAATTTCACCTCACCATTGCAAAGGTTCATATGTGAAAGTGTTGCCATACAGCTGTATCATCTGCTCTTTATTACATCTATATAATTTCAGCAGGACTCCAATTCTCCATCTGTTTCCTGGTTTTGTGGTTTTGCTTTTTCTGAGATTAGTTAATTTGGACATCTACTCTTGTATATAAGAACAAAATCTGTCTCTCTCTTTGTTATGTTTTACAGTGCAGTTTTTCTTTTTAGTGATTTATTTATTGGCTAAGAAAATAGTAATCTAAAAAACAAAATGACAAAATTAAATTATGAATACAGTTAATTTTAATTTTAATAATTGTATTTATATTCAAGATGAACCTATTTTCATATAAGCTTTTGTGTTGACAAATACATGTTTAGTGTTACTATATTTAGTGTAAGCAAAACTTTTAATAGCAAAAAGACAGAATGAAGACTTTACTTACCAAGCCATCCTGATCCAGAATTGGGTATACACATATCTGTTTCAGCACTGGGCAACACAAATCCAACCACAAACACTTCAACCCCATCAGCCATTAGGGCCATTCCTAACACAAAGAAGAGGGCCCACTGGAAACGACCATGGCCACATTCTTGTATTATCAGTTCATATTGCTGTGCTAGCTCTTCTTCATCAGCTTTCCTCTCTGTTTCCAGCTCATGACGATCCTTGTATTCATCACGCATGGACTGACCTAAGGCCACCATGTCATCCTTACCCTGCCCCATGCTGGGGATTCCCTGATACTCCCCTTCATAAATTTCATCATCTTCATCATGTCCTTCAGTTGCTTCACTTGATCCTTCATCATCATTAGCTTCTACACCATAATTTCCTCCTTGGCCATAGTAATCATCATCATCTTCCTCATCCTGGAATCTATTGTAGGACCTCTGTGTGTAGCCATCCTGGGCTTTGTCAACAGCTTTATTCACTTTTTTCACTGCTTGCCTCTTCACCTCTTTGGCAATATCTTTGGCCCCTTTCACTAGTGAAGTCCTGTCTTTGTATGTGTCCTCCATTCTGTATCAAAGGACTGCTGTTAAGCTGCAAAGGCACCTGCCAAATATTGTTTGGAATGTCTATTGTGTGTCAGACATCAGTGGAGAAAGCCCGGGGATAAGTGAAGCTGTAATATTCAACCTGTAAAATACAAGAGAAAAAACTTACACTTCACTATTTTTAGATGCCCTTTCACACTGATAAAGACTCATCCCAATCTTTATTTAAGCAATGGACTTAAGAATGAAATGCAGGGCTTTGAATATAAAAACATGTATTTTCTTCAGAGATACAAATACCACAGGTTATAAGGAAAACATGCTGAAGATATATTTAATATCTCTATCAATCTTCAGAATTCAATTTTTTACTCTCTAGTGTTGGATACCAGGTTTTATTCTGAAAGAAACCAAACAATTCCATGCATCATACATCATATTCATTCTGCAGTGTCCTTTTCCATTTGAACTCCCTGTCTTGTAAGAAAGGGTTACAAATACTAACCTTTATGACCACTAAACCAGTGAGTTACCATGAAATATCTCTCTAGCCCTCCTTCTATTTAACACAAATCTTACAGGAAGTTAGTATTCCTCCAATCTATCACTGTCTCAAAGCTGGCAGAATTTGGCCAGTGCATTCACAGTGCATTCACACCAAGTCTTAGCAATATGAAATCCCACCCTTAAAAATTCAGTGTGGGGAGCTGTGTGGGAAGAAGTTCTGGCACTTTCACACTTTGGAGATTCCCAGTACCTAAGTCATGGGCAGACACATTCCTTTCCCTATCTATATTCCTTTCCCTATCCATCCTCACAGTAGGAACAGAGTGGAACAGCTGTATATTATCAGCTAATGCATCTCCAAGTGCTCCCACTAACCAAGCTGCATGAAAGCACCCAGATATTTTGCCTCAGTTCATCTCCCTGCTCCCCTGCTGTATCTTTCCATCTTGTGCAACCCCAAGGTCAAAATGCAGACACAATGAGCCAAGAGCATTTTGCTTATTGGACTCCAGACTAACCATTCCTTTCCTCTCCGTGCAGTTTTCCGTGCAGCATGTCTGCAAGACAATTTGCTCACCACACATCTGCACTATCTCTAGGGGCGGCAGAAAGAAATGGCAGCAGCATGCAAGCATACAGAAGGAAGAAATGCAGGATCATTCTTTGGCAACAGTTTGTAGCTAGAACAGCTAAAACCAATTAGAAAATTGCACCATTACTCATGTGTCTGAAGTTAAGGGAGTGTGTCTGTGTGTGTGTGTGTGTGTGAACCTGGACACTGCAACAGATTGTAGAAGCCTCCCCTCTGGGAGAAAGCAGGCTACCATTTTTTAGCAGTGCTTCTAAGAAAACACTGCCTGCTTCCAGCTTGGGGAAAAGATTATTTTTAACCATGATCATTTTAATGATCTATTTTACAGCATTACCTCAGAAAAACTGCAGTAACACAGCTAAGAAGGCAGTGAGATATGTTGCAGGAGTAAAAACAGATGGAAATTTCTGAAGTTAATCTTATTACCCTTTCTAAAGCAGTGTGAACTGCCCTCAGAGCTTTATGGGAGAAGACCAATGAATGGCTTTAAGAAGTTGTCCTTTATTCATTCTGTTGCATATATTGTCTTCAGAACTACACTCACATGAGTTTTACAGCTGATAGCATTTTGAGGGATAGGAAAAGCTACAGATTGTATTAGATGAACTAAAGATGTAATGTACTTCTGATACAAGAAAATGAAGCCTATAATCACATAGACATGACTTTAGAAACCAAGAGATATTTCCCCAGCTGTTTAATAATAGAATTTCACCTACAGTAAAAAATGTCTTTATTTTTAATATCTTCCTCTAGAATAATTTCGTACACTTTGAATGTTTCTCAAAGAAATCAGATGTGATGGCACTATTCAACTATTAATGGGAACTGAAGCATTTACTGTAAGAGAAATGCAGCCTTAAAAAAGCCCTGATGTAATATTTATGACTGCAAACTGTAGACTGACTTTAGGTACATGATGATCCTCTTAAGTAGGTCATCCTGGTGAATCTTTTATGCCAAGGCAGTTTCTCTAATTACAGCTTTTCAGTTTCAAGGTGCTCCATAGAAGTTATCCTTTGTGCGCTGGATTAGATATCCGATCCTTACCTATGTGTGGCTACAGTATCTTCTAGCTGTTAGTGAACATGCAATGCATCAAAACATCCACTGGATCTGCTGAAGCCTCCTACAAATATTTTCAAGAACTTTTTGAACTCCTAAAAGGTACTTTTCTGAGTGTTAATGAATACAGTGTGCTCCTAGATTTCAGATAATTTTACAGTGCCCATGCAACCCATATAACCTGAACTCTGAATTCCTCTAATTCTTAGACTGATATCTGTTTATTTTTGTTTTTCCGTTGTCAAATTATCTATTACTACTGCATGTGTACTTCTACATGTGTACGACTACATGTATTACAATTACATGTATATATACACACATACACACACACACACACATATATATCCCCCAAAGAAAGCAAGAGTTTAGCAATACCAAATGAACAAAGAGTCTAAGAGCTAGCACTCATAAAACCATACTTTACTATTCCACAGTACATCTAGCCTGTGAGTTCTACAGACTCAAAAAAGACAAATTTGCAAAAGTAACTGAACTTATGCTGCAGTTTGTAATAAAACAGGTACATCAACAAGGAATTTCACCTGTTCAAACTTACTAAGAGCATAGCTCTGCCATCAAAAAACATGCAGCTAGAACAAAATTTCTGTTTGGGAAGAAATCAGAAATGTCTCTCTATCTTGGTTAAGATTCCAAGCAAAATGCTTAATATGAACACTGTTTTTTCTAAACAGCTTTTCCTTCTCAATGAACTGAAATCTGTGCCTTAAGGTGATAAGTACAAAGAGGAGTAATTTACAGCCCATGCATGATAGCTTCCCACCCTTTCAATTATGTTGGACTGATTACTACAAGTAGGTAACTGGAAAGTCTGAAAGAGTAAGGATTAATGCCTACATGAGCAGCATAAAGCAGAAAAAGTAATGATAGTCTAGCTATATACTCTTCTTTGTACCAACCAATTAATCCAACATGTTTGCTGATTTTCACTAAACCAAACACCACATTCCTATTCAATTCCTTCAACTAAAACAAAAGAAAAATTTCTCAGGAGACTAGGGTTTCTGCCAGAAATTGAAATACTCCTTTAGGAAACACCTACAAAAACATTTTGTAAAAACACTCAAAGATGCTTACACAAAAATCAAATCGTTTTCTTGCTCTAATATTTCTTCTAATATTTATTCCTTTCCATTCTGTTACATTCACAGATTTCAGTATATTTAGCTTTCTGGATAGATTGTGCTACATCTATCCTAAAATAAAGGTTGAAGATTGCAAACTGTATCAGTGAAATCCCATAAAGATATAAATCTATGACAAGTCAGAAAACTCATTCACACAAAGACTTAGATCTTTGTTTAACATAAGCTGTGAGAAGACTCACTGGGTACTCCAAAAAGTGAAATTAACTATATGCATATAAGATAATAAAGTCTTCAGAACATATCTGGAAGTCACACTCAAATGTGCATTTCATGTACTGTTGTGAATTTCATATACATCTTTTCTGCCTTTCTCTTGAATCTATAATGTCTTCTCAAAGGGAAAAAAATAGTAAAACTCATTTCTAATCAAAGATGTTGTCTTTTTAAATGCATATTTTTCTTGACATGTTGATTCTACTTTTCTTACTCTTTTTTTTTTTTTATTATCAAAGATAATATGGATACAGGAGGTTTGTGTTTTCCAAGTTTATCTGTTGATAGAAATTAGTCATCATGCGAAAATATAATCTTTGGTTAGATTATAACTATTTCCAATTTTACTATCTTGTCAAAGGATTTTATATCCCAGATTAAATATAGGCACTTGGACTATGTTAATTCAGAAACAGAAGATCCTATTGTCTTGCAAGTGTTCTCAGCAATTAAGAAAATAAAACAACCCACTCTTGAATTCACTGGGATACCTACAAACTTCTTCCTCATCTCTTCATGTGCAAAGCCTTTTGTTTATTTTTACAGGGTAGTATTTACTTCTGTATGACCTAATAAAGAATAGATTCCTCAATAAAGGGCATTTATTTATAGAGGCATTCATTTATTTAAAATAAATAAGAGCTGGAATCAAAGCTGGTGTGAAACAGATTCATTTTGGGTAATGTTAGCGGATTAAAAGCTAAGTTTCTATATTTTAAGCAAATTCTCTTTCTCTAGTGTTGAGAGTCACACACGCAGGCTGCACTCTTCTAGCTCAAGCTGCAGTAGACAGAACTGTGTATAATACTGCAAGGCTGCAGTGCCACTGCTAGTGGCAGTCCCCAACACTCTCCCTGCTTGGAGGGTATTTTCACCACTTGTCCCTGCATGCTCTCTGCACACACAACACACGTACACAAGATGAGCATAGGAATTCATTTATCTAGTACACATCAATGATCCTGAGCTCAGCAGGAAGAGGGTCTTCATGGTACACTGCAATCTCTTTTTTCCCGTTTCATTACTTTCCTTCCTCATTAAACCAGAAGAGATAACTGTTTCTGTGCCATATGCTCTACCTGCCCAGTTCCTCTTAAACTATTTAACTAATATACCTAATTAGAACAGAATAAGTAGAATTGCTTTTAGCTTGTTTTCACTTGAAATTTGATAACCTTTATCAGAAAAAAAGAATATATTTGCCTGAAAGCAGAATGTATGTGGGCATCCATCTTCAACAAAAAATACTACCTTTAACTGCCCTGTAGAGCCTTAAAGTATCACCAAAAACAAGTAACTAATAATTCTTTCCTTACAATGCTTTTGATCACAGGCCTAGTTCTTCCCCACTCACAGCTGCATATATAATTAATGAAACCAGGATCTGCAAAACTCCCCTTTAAGCAGCACAAACTGGAAATCTGTATGATGAAATCATCAGTATGATGAAATTGGACCACCTTAAACAATGAAAT